GAAGGAAGGAAGGAAGGAAGGAAGGAAGGGAAAAAAATAATTTGCTGCCTCTGGTTTTCACATTAACAATTCCAAGAGAGGGGCAACAGTGTCTGTTGTTAGACCATCATTTCTGCAGCCTTTAAAACAACACAGGCACAAACTTGATGCTCATAAGGTATTTGGTAACTAAATAATTGAATAAAGACCATTTCAAAGATAAAAAAGTTTACAAATGGCCAACCTTTTCCCTAAATCCAGATCTGAGGCCTCAATCCCAGAATTTCTTTTTATATGACTTGGAATCAAGGACAATTTTGAGTTTATTCTAAAATACTGAAAGCACCAACTTTTTAACTTTATTGTATCACTCTCCAAAATGGTATTTTCTTTGTGACACAATGAAACCTCCTTGGGTCTTTCACTGGTGATCTTGTCTAATCTTGGGGTTTTTTTCCCTTTCCTTCCAGCCACCTAGTTATTTTCTTCTCACAGTTTTACCTGTAAAATCTTTCTGATTCTGAATTACTTTTGCCAGCTACTCAGTCATCTTAATTTCTGTCCCCTGTAAACTCAGATTGTAATTGTAACCATAACTGCTGTCTTTTTATATTTAGGAGAGTTTGTGAAAGTTGAAAGATGAATGAGGAAGTCCGAGAAGAATGGATACCTTTAATTGTGGTGTTGTGAAGAGTACTGAATATGCCATTAACTGCCAAGAAACAAGTAAATTTATCCGGGAAGAAGTTTAGCCAGAGTTATGATACTATCCCCCATACTTGGGGTGTGTTGTTTGGAGGGGACAGTCCTTGAAGAAAGACATAATGCTTGTAAAAAATAGAGGGTTAATGGAGAGGCAGATCCTCAGCAAAGGAACATGCCCAAAGTAGGTGAAATGGAGCATCAAAATCCTTGCCTCCAAGGAGCAACCTGGTTTCACCCTCTCCAGGATGGACCGGTATATTCTGTTAGCAGGCCATGCTCTAGCACTACAACTCAAAGGCATAGATTCTTCTTCTGTCATCCTTAGTTCTTATCTAGCTTTCAGATGCAGAGCAAGGAATTGAGATGACCAGGGCCTGGAACAGGCACACTTTAGTCTCTAGATTGACTTCACTATTCTTTAGTGCTCTGGAGAGGTCCCTGACAGCAGACTTTTCCAAAGCAACATGTCTTGATTTCTTGATTGCTGATACCAAGAATGCTGACTGTGGATTTGAGAAAGATGAAATCAATAACAAACTTCAATCTTTTGTCCATCTATCATGACACTGCCAATTGACCCAAGGATGAGGATCTTTGTTTTCTTGATGTTAAGGCGCAATCCATATTCAAGGCTGCAATCCTTTACCATCTGCAGCAAATACTTCAAGAATTCCTTCGTTTCAGGGAGCAAAATTGTCATCTGCATAATGCAGGTTGTTGATGAGACTTCCTCCAATCCTGACACCACATTCTTCTTCATAAAGTCCAGCTTCCTAAAAGATCTATTTTACATATGGACTGGAAAAGTATGGAAAAAGTATGCACTCCTTTCTTCATTTTGCAATATGCACTGTTCTCTTGTTCTGTTCAGACAATAGCTTCCAGGTTTCATATGAGCACAAGCATTTGTTCTGGGATTCCCATTCTTCTCAATGTTAGCCACAACTTCTCGTGTTCCACACAACCAAGTGCTCTTGGATAGGAGATAAAACAAAAATAGACACTGGTACTCTCTACTTTCAGCCAAGATCTATCTGACATTTACAATGATATCCTTAGTGCCATGGCCTCTTCTAAACCCTACTGTATTTCTAGCAGTTCTCTGTCAATGTACAATTCTAGTTGTTTTTGGATAATCATCAGCAAGATTTTTGCTTGTATATGGTATTAAAGATATTGTTTGATAATTTCCACATTCTGTTGGATCACCTTTTTTGGGAATGGGAATAAATTTGGAACTCTTGCACACATTTGGTCATATAGCTGTCCTCCAGATTTCTTAGCACAACCTGGTGAGCACATGCAGGACTGCATCTGTTTATTGAAATACATCAATTGATATTCCATCAATTTCTGAGGCCTTTCCCCACCTCCCCAATTCCTTCAGAGCTGCTTAAATTTCCTTTTTTGCCACGGCCTCTTGATCATATGCTACTTCCTGAATCGGCTCTGTGCCAGCCAGTTCTTTTTGGTACAGTGAATCTGTGCACTTCTTCCATTTTCTTTTCATGCTTCCTGTATCATTCAGTATTTTGCCCATAGCATATTTAGGTATTGCCATTCAAGGCTTGAATTTGTTCTTTAGTTCCTTCATCTTGAGAAATGGTGGGTGAGTTCTTCTCTTTTCACACTCTGACTCCAGCTCTTTACTCATTTCATTATAATACTTCACCTTGGTTTTGGGGGCTGTCCTCTGAACTTCTTGATTTCTTCCCTTTGTTTAGACTTCTAGGCATTCTAGTGAATTTTCCAATCTCTTATTCTCCTCCCACTCAAAGTTCAGGGGCATTGATTCTTTTTTTTCTTGTTCACCTTTTAGGTGCTTAGAGAGCAATTGAAAATACTTGGATCAGGCACATCTTTGCTCTTTAGCACTTTGGGGTGGTCCTTGACAGGTTTTTTCCAGTGCAACGTGTCTTCTGAGTTTAAGTGCCTGGTCATATAGATGTCATCTTGAAAGAAGAGACCCACCATTCTTGTCTTGGGATGACTAAACAGCTAACTGAAAAGATGCCCTCTTGGAGGCTGTGTGTGCCTACTAAATTGCATAATCTCTCTGGACTAAAGATAGCTCCATATTTCCTACAAGTCTTGAGTAAACATGAGCTCTTAACCTAGACTACAAAGATCTCCTCGGAAACTACCCTTGTTGAAACAGATCCGGGACAAACTGACTGATGTTGCTATGCTAGCATATATAATCAAATTTCTGCTCTTTTAACTCCAAAGTGCATCTCTAAAATTGGTGTTTCTATCAGCGGGCAACAGAAACATGTTTCTCCTATAACAGGATCATATAATAGTGGACATAGGGTCTGTTTAAGAGCTGACTCAAAGGCCCTTAACAAAAATACTTCCTCACAGGTACATCACATTTCTACCCAAGACTCAGGCTCCTTCTCTGGATTAGGCATCACCTGTCCAGGTCCTAAAGCAAATTGTCTAAAGAGTTGCTCATTAAGCTGATTTTTAGATACACTTTCTCCTTTATACTGGCTAAGTACCACTTATGCTAGTGCAGCCACTTGGTAGGTGCAAAGTTCAAAACAAAGGGTGAGATAATTGCTCCCTGGAGATGGCTAAGGAGCCCTGTGGGTGCCTGCTACAAACACATCCCCTTGGAGGAAGACTAAGCAACTGTTTTTCTTCTTCCTGCAAAATGTTCCAAATACCACAGCCTAGAAAGCAAGCTGGGTTCTAACCATTAATAGGCACCTTCAAGCGGAGTCCCTGGTTCAGGGCTTAAGAAAAAACATGGGTTCATTTTCAAACATTCCCTTCTCTTTTGTCTACATTCAAAAACTCTCAGGTCCACATGAGTAAATCTCATCCCCTGTGGGTCATTGTTAAGCAGCCCAGGAGGCAATATGTTGCCCTGCTAACCAGGCCAGTGGTCTCAATCTACCACCTGCTCTGCTGGAGGACAGAAATGCCAATTTCCCACAGAGATTTACAGCTTCAGAAGCCCTCTTGTGGGCCCTGTGCATTTCAGGCAGCTCCCCGCCAGTGGGCTGGGCAATTTCCAGCTACTCTAGGTGGTTGGGACTTACCGGACGTGCTATCAGGATTGATGCATCTTTCTCCCATATAGTGACTAGGGTGTTTGAACTGCCAACCTTTTGATTAACAGAAGCATGCTTGAACCATCAAGGCATCAACAGAAACATTGCAAAGAGGTCTGACCTGGATAGGGTGAAACCAAGTCTCTCCTTGGAAGCTAGGACTTTGAAGCTCTGTCTCACTTACTTTGGGCCCATGGCAGGAGAGGTCAGTCCTCGGAAAAGGACATCATGCTCGGAAGGGTGGATGGATAGCACAGGAGAGGGAGACCTCAGATGAGATGGACTGATACAGTGACTGGGAAGATAGGGGTTGGTGTGTTGGAATTAATGAGACTGGCTCAGGACAGGGAAGAGCTCAGCTGTACAGAGGGTCATTATACATCTCAGGCAACTCAATGGCATGTAACAATAATATACTATGATAGTTTGGAAGCAGGAGTGGCATCCACTTCCTAAACAACATGCCTCAGGAAACTCATAAACTTTGATAAATGGCAATAGTTGTAGAGGAGCTTCAGGCCTTTTGTTCATAGGGTTGCTATGAGTTGTGCTCAAATTGAAGCCAATCAACAACAACAACATACAATATGACAGGGAACTATTAAGTTTCCAAGGCTGCAAATCTTTATCGAATCAGATTGCCTTGTCTTTGCCCAAGAGAGAGTCTGGTGGGTTTGAACTGTCAACCTTTAGGCTTTAAGCTCTGTGCCACAAGTGGTCCTTCCAGAGGCTATAACAGAAATAGACCTAGGAGGTATTACACTGTGTAACAATTACACAGTATGTTCTGAATGAATGGCCAACTGAGATAAGAAAGACAATATAACTTTAAAGTTTAAGGAATGGAATCTGCAAACAAAAATTTTTCATGTTTTACCTCTAGCAAGAAAAGAATATTAACAAGTCCAAGAATTTAATGGAAGCATCTGTAAAATAGTTGTCATATCCATAAAGTTTATTTAAAAAAATTGTTAAAAACTAATCATACAGGAATAGTTATTAATATACTTAAAAAGTCTGTTCCCTGTGGTGAAGGAAAATACATTAGCAACATCTTCCAGACATTATCTTTATAAAAGTAAAATTTCTAGACGCTGAAATGAACTACAGCAGACTCGCTAGTTTACACTTTGAATCACAGGATTGGGTATCATTCTACTTCTCCCCCTAGATGTGGCAGAGTTATTCTTAAATAAACGACATTCAATTATGTTCTACGACCACAGATCCTTAAATAGAGCAGCACAGACTGCGAATTGACTAACAGAGCAAGGCTTCTCTATTTGCTGCCACATAACTATTTTAGGTAAGCATGTTACTATAAATACAAAGAGAAATATCAAATCCCATGATTGTAAACATTCACCAAGAGCTTCCAGAGTACGAGCGAGAGAGGTGATCTAAGAGTCAGTCCAGTGTTCCTCATTCATTTGGATACTGCTGAGATTAATGTTCCAAAGGCAATTCATCATAAGCTTCACTTATATTTCTCTAAGAAAATCCTGGCTGTCTAGTTTTATTAAAAACACCTGAAAGTTATTCTAAAGACTACATTAAGCACCATTTCACTTACCTGAAATATATTGAGCTAAATTCAGCAGTATATGCATGATCATTAATATCAGAAATTAAAAATAACTGTGGGTCTCGGGTTCCCCTTTGTTGATACATAGAGTTCAGAGTTCCAACCACTCAAGCATATCAAGGGTACAACCCCCCTGGACCACATGCAACCCATATGCTGAGGCACAACTATTCCATCTGTCAGTGGATGCTATACAAGCAGATTTAAGGCTGTGTTTGGCTATAAGGAGTTCAATTGCCTTTTTAATATTCTATGTTCTTCACATATGATTCAAAATCTCAAAGAATGGGGGGGGGGCAGAAAGTCCCTAAATTCATTTATTTAAAACTAGTCTCAAGATAATTCATTATCAGTATATTTACATGGGTGGATATTCAAATTTAAAACTGGGAAAAAATGTAACCATGATGTTCAAACAATTATATCAAATATCCTCATTCTCACTTTTGGACTTTACTCCAGCTCCACACTTGTCACATTGTTCACGGCAGTTCCCAGGTAATTCTGATGTTGCTCCAGAGAAAAACAGAAACAGAAAAACATTTATTGCCACCCACTTTGGGAGAGACCTGGTTGCAAAGAGAATGGAGTTCCTGGCGTGGAGGGGTAACTAGGAAACCCATCCGGCTGAGCTGGGTAGCTTTCCAGAGCTGACGCGGAATGGACCTGATGCAAATAAGAACATGGGGGTTAGCAGGGGTCAGGTGCGGCTTCGCCTCCCCTGCTTTCCCACCCCACAAGGAAAAGGAGAAAACTTCGGGCCAATGTAAAGCCTGTCTGGTCTTTTAAGAAATGTTAAACTTCATGGAAAACATAGAAATGTCAATACTGAGTATCTTCAAACAGAAAAGCTAACAGATGGTTTCAGAGAAAATCTGCTTTAATGGTCCATTATTTCAACTTAAGTTGTCAAAGACAAGTTAAAATCTACTGTCATTGAATAAAGACTTCACTTTAGTAATAAAATCGAGATTTTAAAATCTAGAAACAAGAAAGGGAGCTCTGGAGGCTTAGTGGTAGGAGTTACACCACCAATGAGGTTTGAATCCATCAGATGCTCCATGGAATAAAGACGGGCAGTCTCCTCCACTTTGATTTACAGGCTCTGAAAACCTGCTCGAGAGTCAACTATGTGTCTGTTCCAACTCGACAGCATGTAATAACATAACCGACTCACAGAGATGGATTTATTCTACCACTTTTGTTATAGTTTTAGAAGAGAAGCCACATTTGGGAGAATCGTCACATGTGCAGACGTTCTGTTAAGAGCAATTCTCCCCACCTCCAACATTAGTACATACATAACTGCTGTCCCAATGTTGTCACCTTGTGGTTGGGAGCTATTGTTGACTATCATGTATACAAAAATTAGCCATTGTGATTTGCTTTTGTTACATAATGTTGGGTCAAAACCAACTCACAGATGACCCTCTAGTGGGCTTTCAGAGGCTATAAATCACAGGGGGAAATGCCCATCTTTCTTCCACGGAGCAACTGGCGGATCTGAACCACACACCTTCATGTTGGCAGCACAGGCTCTTACCACTAGCCCACCAGGGAGTGTGGCCGCTTGGGCTTTTCAGAAATGGAGCACCAGGCCTTTCTTCCTCGTGCTTTGGGAATGAAGGTGAGCATTCTCCCCCACCGCCCTCCACCTGCTCCAGGGCAGGTGCGCAGCTCACCTGCTGTAAGAGTGCGGACTGTGCAGCTGCGTTATGCTGCAGTTCCTGCAAGGAGGACTGGGAAGGGTTCTGGGAAAAGCCGGGAATACCGGGGAGAGACAGAAGGCCTGGAAACACGGAGCCGCCTGCCGCCTGAAGTCCCGATGACAGGCTGAAACACAGACAGAGGGGCAGGTCACACCACACGTCAGGCGTCAAAACAGATGCTTCCCTGCCAAGTGTCACCTTTAAAAAAAACTACCTATTTATTTGTTAGAAACAAAAACCTCTAAATCGACCACTCACTGCTATAAAACCGACTTCGAAATAAAGTCAAAGTATACTTTGCTGGATTCCCTAAGTCTGCTATGAAGCCTAATTACTGAGTAGGAACCCGAGAACCAAGTCTTTTGTTCCAGCAGCACAGAGTGGAGCGAGGTTTGAGTGGGGCTGCGGGCCGAGTGCCGCACTTTCTCCCGGGGGTGTGCAGCCTGGCCCCCCACCCGCAGGGCCCCCTGAACCCGGGGACCGGCACCCACCCGGCCTGAGCCACCAGCGCGGAGTTGAAGTTGGAGCTGAAGGCGGACGCGAAGCCCGGGAGCACGGGGGCCGGGGACGGGGCGGTGGCGGCCCCGGGCAGCGCTGTCACCGAGGCCACCGTGGAGGGTGCCTGCAGCCCCGGGAAGGAGGGCAGCGCCGGGGCGCCGCCGGCAGCATTGGAGGCCGAGAAGCCGGGGTAGGTGGGGTTCGAGGCCGGCAGGGGGCCCTGGGTGACCGAGAAGAGCGAGGGGACGGCGGGCGGCAGGCTGAGGGGGAAGGCGGCGGCCGAGGCGGGCGCGGAAGCGGGCAGCCCCGACAGGCCCCCGTTCGAGGAGCTGGCGTGTGGCAGCGCCGAGCACGTGGCCGGCGCCGAGGAGGAAGTGGCGAGGAGCGAGCCCGGAAGTGAGACGGCGGGACTTCCGGCGAGCGGGAAGCTGCTGGTGAGGGACGTGAAGGGCGGCAGCGCCGTGAAGCCGTGGGGCGGCAGGGAGATGGAGGGCAGCGGGTTGGAGCCGTTGAGGGGCGCGCTGAGGCTGGGGAGCCCGGCCAGCGCGGGGTTGAGGCAGGTGGACGTGTAGGCGCGGCCCAGCGTCGCGGGCAGGCCGAGGGCGCCCGCAGGCGGCGCGGGGTGCGAAGGGCCCTTGAAGGCCGATGGCGTGGGGCTCGTGGGCTCGGTCTTGACCATGACGGCGGGCATGGACACAGCAGGGGCGGCGCGCAGGTGCAGGTCGGCGCTGGCCGGGTGGGCGCTGTGTGCGGAGGAGGAGGAGGGCGCGGGGGCCGCCATGGGAGGCTGTGCGGGCGGCGCTGAGGCGGTGGAGGTGGTG